AGATGGTAATAATGATTCACTTGATATAGAATAATGATATACAACTTTCTAGGTTGTTTTTTTATTATTTATTTGATAGTGTGAAATATTTCAATTGATATACATATGTTGTAAGTCATCAGTTACATTTCATATTAAGTCTTTTTGGTAATCATTTTTAATTGATTGATATCTCTTGTGTGGTTTTCTCTTTTCAAGCTGCAAGCAATAACAAATATTGTAGGGAATGATTTTATTCTCCATTTTTTTTAGTAATAAAAAAATCATATTTCTTATGCTAAATTAATTTTAATTAGGATGAAACCTAGTACACTAATAACAAGCAAAAAAACACATAGATTTACACAACATTTCATTGGCTTTTGTGCACGTAATAATTTTTGAATTCTTCCATTCAAACTACGTATTCTCTGCTGTTGTTTTACAATGTTTTCCTCAGTTCCCAAAAGTATTTCATTCTGTCTACTTAATTGGCCACCGATTTCCATTGCCAGATTTCGTAGCCTGCCGGCACCTTCCCTCAGCCGATCTAAACCAGCATTAATTTTGGACTCTTCTTCAGCTATGGCGTTCATTTCTTCTTTGGTTTCTTCGTTTTCCTCAAGCCTCCCAGATCCTACAGTAGGGTCCATAAATCTGTTTATGCCATTTTCGTTCGTTTCAGACTTGTTCCAATGCATCCCCAAAAGCTTTTGTCTCAACTCCATTTTCTTACCAAAATCTGTTTCTTTGATCGCGTTAATGCAACCCTTGCTCGCTACTACCCTCTCCGAATTCATCTCACGAACTACTTTTAGGGTTTCTACGCAATCACTGTACTCCTGACGTTTCTCGTTAAGGCATCGCTCTAAAAGTTCTAACTTCCCTCTTTTTTGATTCTTCCTTTTTTTTATGAGCAACTTTTCAGCCTCATCTACTAGCTTCTTTATTTCTGCTAAAGTATCTTCCATGTGGAAAATATTCTTACGAATTCGATTTGACAATTCAATAGTCATGTAGTCATCACCATGATCGCGGCAACCCTGATTTCGTTCATTAATGCTATCTTTGGTATGAACTACTAAATTAATAAAGCTATTTAATAAATCTCTAAAAGGATCGCCAGTTGGTTGTAGATTATAATCTCCGTCGTCTTTACCAGCCAACTGGCGAATTTTATAAATGCGACGTAATGTATCTCTCAGTATTGAACGATCGAGTCCATCAAAATTAGGAAAGTAATTGAGCATGTTCAAGACTTTGAAAAATTCACCTATTTGGTTTATGTTAAAAAAAAGGTGTAATTTGCTATTCCTGCAGTAAAAAAAAGAAAAAAGTTGTCACGAAAGAAGATATATTACCAGCAACAATAATGTTCACACATATCTTCATTTTATCGTACGCCCACTCGTTTCTTACGTCAACACCATTATCAAATGAGAAAACATATTTCTTTAATGCAATCACTTGTTTAAGAATCACAAGGGATAAACAAAAAAGGAAAAGAGTTGTCCTTTAGTAAATGTAGATAACCTTCTTATATGTGCCCTTAGATTTTTTTACCATTATATAATTATTCGTAATGTGCATGACTCTTACCAAGAAATGCCACTGCTGGTTGGTGCCTGAGCACGACTAAACGGCGCTGTGGTTGATACAGGCTGACGAACAGGGGCAAAGTCCGTTAGCTCACTGGCTCGTAAACGTGGTGGGAAAAAGTTCTGGCTGCGAATCTGTTGTTGCTGTTGTAGCTGCGACTGTGAAAGGTGGTAAGCATTGTATTGCATATGTGACGCCACTTGTTGAAAGCGCTGCTGCGATTGTAATTGCGGTTGCTGTTGATGTGATTGTGACTGAACCAAGTTTGTCCGTTCTGGTGCATTGTTCCATCCATCCAAAGTTTGGTTAACAGAAGACTGCCATGTGGAGTGGTGTTGTTGGGGTAGTAAGCGTCCTGTATCGGCCAGACTCCAGGTACGATTGCTCAAATTAGCAGTGTCAGAGCGATAAATGGCTTGCGGTTGTTGTGGCGCAGGTGGGGTTGGTGCCTTGCCTGCGTGTGCAGAGAAGTTGTAAACCTCAGCTGACATTGATGCAACTTTGACGACATTAATAGGAAGTTTGACGCAATCTACTCTTTCCACTTCTAGAACATAATACGAAGGTGCTGGTGGCGTGGGTGGAGCTACCGGTTCAGATACTTTCTTGCTTTCGGCAGCTGTCAGCTGAGCAGGCGGTTGCTCCACAGTTTGTTGTTCAACAATGGCTTCCTGAATGGCAACGGTAACAAGAGCTGCCGGTGTGTTTTCATCTTGAGAGAGAGGCTGAGCCGCTTCCAGCGTGGAATTTAAAGTGATGGCCTCTGCAGATAACCTAGCTTCATCCTTTTGCTGCCGCACCATATCGGCAAATGAAGGACCTGCCCTACTCTTTGACCATGTCGATCCAGCTTTTATATCCTTTTTGTAGTGTATAACAGGTCTATTTGCAGAATTGGAGTCTTCCTCCCTCTTCTCTTGGGGTTTAGTGAATTTTTTTTCGGAATTCGAGAAGTTTTTACGAAACGGCTTCGATTTGTCGTTATCACGAGGGCTACTGCTATCGTGATTATCCCCTTTTCCTACATGAAGCTCTTTAAAAGGCTTCTTTACAGCAGATTTAGAAGTCGCTGGGGTATTTTTTGGGGGGTTCATGGTACTTTTTTCCCATGAACTCATTCTGTTAAAAGTTTATATATATATATGTATGTGTGTATATATATATATATATATATATACGACGTGTATTGTTTAAACACAGCTTTTAGTACACGGAAAAATACAAAAATAAACTATTCAACTGAGCAAACAGCAAATTGAAGTAAAAAGAGAGAAACATATTGAAAATTAAGGCCATGAAAAAAGACATGTTATCATCGGGATATAAAAATGAAACACAGACGGAATATAAAACCGCATCAAATACTGCGCTCCGTTGTGCTATCCATTTATTATAAGAATATTAATTGGTATGTTAAGAAAATAAAATCAGATATACACAAACAACTTTTAGAGGATAAATCGTATCTGCATCAAACGGTAATTGCGTTTCGGGCCGCGAAGAACTCAGAGTGCTCGTCGGTGGGGTCGCGCTGCGCCTCTGTCTCCGCCCAGAGGTCCGGAGTGAGGAAGCCATAGGTCTTACGCAGAGCATAGAAGGTGGCCATAATGAA